CGTGCCAGGGAGTTTCTGTCAGTTCTCTGCCCGGGTCCTCAGAAGGCACAGGCTGTCAGCATGCGGGCGGTGCTGGAATGCCTGCCTCCACCAGCCTTGTGTGGACCGCTCCATTCTGCCCCAGGGCCAACGGAAGGAAAGAGCTACATTTCTGGGGGCTCAGTCCTCCAAGCTGGCCTAGCCTAGCAGGACTTCCCAGGGGGCAGAGTCTTTAGAAACTGCCTCAGACTTCTCAGGAAGCTTGTGCCCTCCTCAGGGGTACACACTGGGGCATGAGGACTTGAGTTCATCCCCAGAACCTGTCTTTAAGTGGGGGGGGGGGGGAGCCAGGCATAATGGTATACATTTTATAATCCCAGCACTGGGAAGGCAGAAAGAGATGGATCCCCTAGGCTTGCTAGCCAGCCAGCCTAGCCTACTTGGTAAATTCCAGGTCAGTGAGAGACCCTGTCTCAAAAAACACAGTGGACAATATCTGAAGGACAACACACAAGGCTGACTTCTGGGCGCCACACATACCTGCACGCGCACACACATCCCAGAATCTTGGCATCTCTGGTATGTCCATTAACTCGACAGACAGGCAGCAGCAGAAATTAGGGTATAGAGGGAACAAAGCCACCCCCATGCAAGCCTTTCCTCTGTGACCTGTGGCCAGGCTGGGGGTAGGAGAGCACGATGCTGGTCACAGGACACTTTTCCCTACCACTCAGATCTGATTTCTCTCCCAGGGATAGTACCCTTGTTGTCCTGTGGGAAAAATGAAACATTTGCCAAAACTCTGTCAGGGTGTAACATTCCACCTTCCCCAGGATCCAGCAGGAGCAATAGGTAAGGTGACTTCATACTGGGGAAGCCACTGGTCCACAGCCACATCATCCATTGTCTCCAGTCAGAAGGACGACATCAACACTGGACACTGTCTTGAATAAAGAAATTACTGAGGCTTTCAAATGTCTACTGCCCGTTTGGCTTTGGTGAAATGATGAAATCCATCTTCCCAGGGCCTTAGAGCATTGGCTAGTATCTTTACGAGTTTACAAGACGGCTTCAGACTAGGTGTGTTTGTGTGGAAAAACAGACTCAGTGTTCCATCACCTAGGAAGGCAAAGCCTGGAATGGAGCCAATGGCAGGCATGCTAGATCATGCAGCTGCAGGATGTGTTTTAATCAGAGGACACAGTCTTTCAAAATGGTGGCTTGGTTAAGTAGGCCAGATTCCTCTCAGAAGAAAAGCTTGTCCTTTCTGGCTCCCCACTGCCACTAATCCCTTCTCCAACCCTAGCACAATGGTCAACCTGCCCACTGGCCCGAGAAGGGGCCAGGCTGAAGGCTTAACACAAAAGCCCCTTACAAAGATGTCAGGCCGGATCTGCATCAGCGGAGGCACTCAGGTGAAAACACATGCTTCAGGGTGCTCCCCTCTCACATCTGAGTGTAAAAACAGACCAGTCCGTTACATGGACTGTGAAATTTCTAGACAGGCATATAGTGTTACTGTCTGGAACTTTCCATGAACCTCCTCGAGTTACCATACATATTAATAGGAACACCACATTTAAAGAAAGGAAAACACGTTGTGCCTGGTGATTGCTTTTAATTGAATTCATCTGGGAATTTTAAATTCAAAAAATTGAGCCCCACTTACGGCATACGAAGGTTTGAACGGTTGTGATTTTTGCTCTTTGGGATGGGGAATCTCTTTGAAGGACAGTTTCTGTAGTGTGAGGTATTATGTTAGAGCCACCTGTAAAAAGCATTAAGTTGCAGAACTATGGAATGGGACAGGGGACACTGAGCAACTGCACCATTCCTTCAGAGGCAACCTGGCGCTCACAGCCCCTGCTCGGAAAAAGAAGCTGCACATTGCTGTCAAGACAGCCCTCGAGGGCTGGAGAGATGGCTCAGTGGTTAAGAACACACTTTGTTCTTGCAGAGGACTGGGGTTGGTTTCCAAGTATCTACATGGTGGCTCATAACTGTAATTCCAGTTCCAAGGGATTTGACACTCTCTCCCAGTGGGTGACACTCATACATGTGGTGTATTTGCACACATACAGGCAGAACTAAATTGAATTAAAAGATACTGGTTGATAGCCAGGTATGAGCACACCTTTTATCCAAGCACTTGGGAGGCAGAGGCAGAAGGATCACTTTGAGTTCAGTGTCAGCCAGGGCTACATAGAGAAACCTTATCTGAAAGAAAAGGAAGAAAGGAAGAAAGAAAGAAGAAAGAAGGAAGGAAGAGAAGGAAGGAAAGAAGGAGGGGGAGGGAGGAAAGGAGAGACACACAGAGAGAGAAAACCCACAGCAGGTCTCAGCAGGTAAAAGTGCTTGCCACCAATGCCTGATGACCTGAGTTCAATCGTACAACTTGCATAATGGAAAGAGAGAACTGATTCGCACACGCTGTTCTGTGACCTCCATGCACAGGATACACGCATTTACACATGTGCACACACACACTAAATGAATAAACAAGTGTAAGCAAGCCACCAGAACCTGGCTTAATGTTTACCATGGTGAGCCAAGGTTGGATGGGTAGTTGAATGAAAAGTCCTGTGGGAAGTGGAAACTAGATGTCACTTTCTTGACATTTGATGTGCCACCGTGACACTAGCCAGGTCCTGCAGTACAGTGAAGCAGACACACTGCCTCTGTCACACGCTGTCCCTTCAAGGGAGCTTGTGAAGCCTCCAGTCTGTGTTCTAACAGAGGGAGAAAGAGAAGCCAGGCTCTGGCTAGTGGAGCACCTCAACCTCAGATCTTCCTTCTGCCAATCAAAGCGACATTTATTCTCACAGAGAAACTCAGTCCCCTTGCCTCCCAGGTCCTAAGCAAAAACCAAGGGGGAAAATGTGATGAGCCGCCACCCTAGGCTTGTCTATGTGACTCCCCTCAAGTGCCCCGCCTCCTGGCACACAAAGGGGCTCAGATTATGAGCCACGCAAGTGCCTTGTTTATGTCCCCTGTCACCCAATGAACAAATGCCAGGTGGGGTTTTCAACTGAGGACCCAAACCGTGCCACACACAGATGCACACGACCAGGCACGCCAAAGATGGCTGGCGCAAGTCACAAGCACCCAGCTCAGGTATACGGCAGCTGTCCTCTGTCCCAGGGACACTCGGCATCTCCAAGGTCTTGTGTTCTTACCCACCCACGGCTCTTAGCATCACTATTCCCCTCATCAGTACTCAAATCTGCTATCGGGTCCTCATTCCGGACTGGAGGGGATCAGTGGTGTGCACGGCTGTATTTTGATTAAGGATGCCCCGTGTAACATGTGTACATGGGCCTCTATAGTCCGAGCACCATCCTGAGGGTGTCCTGGAGTCAAGATCAGTGAGAACTAAGGCCTAAGGCCTTTCTGATCGACAGCACTGTGAATTCTGCTGCCTGCCATGCCCTTTCTACTCGGATGGCTTCCACCCAGTCTCTGTCCCCTACAAACCTCAAGCACAGCCTTCACTCAGGAATTCTCTGTTTTCCTCCTAGAAAGGCTGCCCATGGTGTGCCATGGCTGCCTGGTTTGAGTATGCGCTCGCTCTCTCTCTCTCTCTCTCTCTCTCTCTCTCCTTCCCGCCCTCCTCCCTTCCTCCCTCCCTCTCTCCCTCCCTCCCTTTCTGCTTTAGAAGCTGGTCCTGGGCCCAGGATATGACGCAGGCAGCAAACCACTTGTCCCATAGGCATGAGGACCTGAGCTCTAGGTGACTGGTGTGATGGCCACACTTAGAATCCCAGCACCAGGAAGCCATGTAGGAATGGGAGGCTTGCCTACCAACCTCGCTAGCCTAACAAGTGAGCTCTAGACCAGTGGGAGACCCTGGCTCACAGTAGGTGTCCTCTGGCTTCCACACACACACATATACAAGTATGTATTAAAAAGAAAGGAGAGCTGGCCTCCCTCCCTTCCGGGCTTTGTTAGCCCCACCTTTGTCTCACAGGTCCATCTCCCCATCCTTCCAGAACCAAGAGAAGGTACGAAGCATGGGCTGATACGTAGGAAGCTGAGTTGCCCTGGTTCATAGAGTGGCGATAAGCCATGCTTTTGGCTCCTTAGCCAGGCCCCCTCCAGCTCACGGCAGAACCCATTCCATATTCCACCAGTCTCCCTGGGAAGGTGGTAGCCACTGTCACAAAGCCAACCAGCCTCCCACCCTGCCAGCCTATGGTAAATGTCTACCAACTCCCCACATTTGAGCACCGTGCCAAAACAAGCGGAAAAGAAACAAAAAGAAAGTTCTGACTGCCAACCAAAACACCACCACCTTCCTGCTAGTGCACCAGTTCAACGGTGAGGTCAAGAGTGGGCACAAATCCTGGATGCCTTTGCCAGGGGTGTGGGAGGCATCTGGACGAAGAGACGGACCTGCTGTCCCCACAAGGAAGTGCATTGTCCCCAGTGACCACATCCACATGCAAGGAATTCTCTGGCCCCGAGGTCTGATCAGTGGCTCCTGTTGGGGTTTCCCTGACTTGAGTGCACATCATGTCCCTGCCAACTTTAGGACTTCATAATCCTACAAAATTCAGCACACCTTTGGGCTAAACCACAGGCAAACTGCGGCAGCAGTTACAGGGACCAGAGCCTGACACTAGGGACGACAGGCAGCCTTCTTAGCCTTTAGTCTACTGGCTCCAGGTGTGGCTGGAGCTGGAGCTGGAGTCATTAAGGCATGGGCCATTCCATGGGCTCTGGGCATTTCACCAGCTGGGACACAAGGTCCGTTACCAAAGGATCTTATATATACCTCACGCTTGTTCCCCTTTTAAATTCGAGGCACAAATTATAGCTGGATTCAATGGCCCTTGTTTCTGACCCAGCTATCTGAAGGTGTAGCATTCTCTCAGACTGCATGGCCTTGGCAGAGATGGAGGAATGGGGGCCCGGCAGTGCCAAGGCTGAAGAGGAGTGGGGGAGTCTGCTCCCATCCCCCAGAGCCTGCAGTTGCAGATATGCATCACTCTGGGGCGTGAAAGAGAGAGACAGCAACTTACGTGGCTCCTCTTGCCTTCCTCATCCCCCACCGAAGTAATGACTGTCTCAGAAAAGTCCATCTGTCCGGTCTGATTGTCGGTTATCTACAGACAAACACAGGTGCAGGAAAAGTGAAACAAGGAATTCTGGGAACAATGTAAAGCCTTTGTTTGCTTTCATTTTTCTGGGGTGGGAGTCGACAGGAAGCCCACTCCCCATTCTGAGTTCTAATCACTGTACCGCCAGTGGGCAGAGCTCCTGGAGGTACCCACAATCCTGTGCAGAGGGAATAAAGTGATCACGGACAGCACAAGCGGGGGGGGGGGGTGCCTGCCACCTAGCAAGTACTCAACACCCGCTATTTTTATCACTCTTGGGGCTCATCACTTGGCACTCAGTGTCAAGAATTTCCCAGTCTGACCAGCGTGATGGCAGAGGCCTCTGATCAAAGCACTTGGGCTGTGGAGACAGAAGGGTCAGGAATTCAAGGTCAGCCTTAGCTAGGTGGTAAGTTGGGAACCAGACTGGGCGGCATGAGACTGTCTCAAGACAAAAACATAAAATCCAGTCCGTGCATCTAGCCAAATAAATGTCTCCGTAAGAGGCGAGAAGGTGAAAGTCCTGGCCACGCCCCCAGCTCCTTCTTTGGTCGGACTATGCAGCCATGAGATGGCCTCAAGCACTGAAGAAATCAGCTCCCTTTGCCAGTTTCTGGGCTGCCCTGATTCTGTCCTGAGGGCAGGTTCCTCAAACCACACCCAGCAAGGAAACAGAGCCTCTCCTGCCTCCTCCAAGGCTGGGACTACAGATGGGTCTGGCCTAGGACCAGAAGAACTGTGTCTGGGAGCCCTGGTTCAGCTGCCAGCAACCATCTGGTCATTTCTCTTCCTGATTCTGTCTTCTCATTTTGGCATCGTCTTTAAAGTTGGTGCCAGCTGTACTATCTCAAGTCTACAGCCAGAACCAAGCGATTGCGGCCCAGGATGCAAACACGGATCAGCTCTTACTTCCCAGGCAGCAAGGGCCGGGCTCCACCATCCTGCTCTGCTCTGCTCTATTTTCCTCCCCTCAGGCCCTCAAGGCATCCAGGCTGGCCTCAAAGTCACTATATAGCCAAGGCTGGCCTTACACCCCCATCCACCTCCACTTCTCAAGTGCTGGGAATACAGACATGAGTTACCATGCCTGGTTTATACCTGCTAATTTTTACCTAAGAAAAAGAATGTTGTCTTCTTCTTCTTCTTCTTCTTCTTCTTCTTCTTCTTCTTCTTCTTCTTCTTCTTCTTCTTCTTCTTCTTCTTCTTCTCCTCCTCCTCCTCCTCCTCCTCCTCCTCCTCCTCCTCCTCCTCCTCCTCCTCCTCGATAGTTTTTTGTACAAGTGTAATTTTTTAAAAAAAAATTCTGCAGCCCAGTTTCAGGCCCTCTTGGGACTCTATTATCCCACCATGCATTTCTTCATCTCTAGGATATACGCACTATTTTCTGAATGTACTTCACTGTCACTGTGCACCTCCCTCCTGAAGCGCTGCACAGCCTGGTGCCCCACAAATCTCCTTGAGAGCCTGGGCTGCTAGCAACTTTCCCCTTTGTCAGTACCTGCAGATCACAGTGGCACATGCCTATAATCCCAGCCCTCCGAGAAGGCAAGGCAGGTGGATGTCTGTGAGTTCAAGGTCTGCATAGTGAGGACCTAGCTTTGTTTTCTTTTTTCTAGGATGGAGTCTCTCTCTGTTGTTCTGGCTATCCTGTAACTGCCTCCACCTCTCAAGGGCTGGGATTAAAGGGGTACTCCACCACGCCCAGCAGAAGGGTCCCCTCCTTAGGTGTGTCACTAAATGAGTGACTCCCTCTAGAATAATAAAGACCCATCTACCATAAGGTCTCTTCTTCACCCCTGACAGAGGCACACATGAACGGAAACCTAAGAGGTGAGTTCTGCCTTCCCAGCCATGAAGAAGCCTCAGCTTCATACACTGCCTGGGAAGAGCAGAAGCAGCTCAGAGCCTGAAATGTACCTCTCCCTTGAGCAGCATCCTCCCTTCTGCTGGGTTCTAATCTCTTTCTACAGCTCTCACTACATGTGTGTTTATATCACAGCTGTCGACAAGCCCCTTTTCCTCCAATGGGACGGCCCCGTAGGAAGGAGACATGGCCGCATTGCCGCCCTTACCTTGTGAATTTCTCGGTGCGTATGGATGGTGTTATTGCCGACCCTGGTGTCCGTGTTGGTCTCGTTGTGATAGTTGGCAGGTAAACTTGACAGGTTCACCTCAGAGGATGTTCTCGCAGCTGCTTCTTCTGCCTCCATCTACAAATTGAATAAGTAAAATGGTTTCTTTCCGTTGTAACTGAGAGGGAAATAAAGGGGCACTTTCTCGTTCCCTCTTCTATAGGTGCAGAGATTGGTGACAGTGACAGGCCACTGAGTGGCCTTTAGACAAGAATTCCAAACGTTTTACATGGCCTTCAAGTCTCACGACCTCGGAAGGTAAAAGAGCTTGCTGAGCAAGCCTAAAGACTGAGTTTGATCCCTAGAACCCATGTTGGATGTGGTGACTCCAAACTGCAATCCCAGGACTCCTACAAGGGTATGGGAGGCAGAGGCAGGAGAATCAGCCGGGAGCCCACAAAGCAGCAGCAAGGTGGAAGGAGAGAACTGATTTCTTTAAATGTGTTCTCTGATCCACTGCACATTTTCCATGGCACACACACACACACACACACACACACACACACACACACATACACACATGCTCTCCCCTCAGGTGGTACCCTTTCCCCTTCTGGTTTTTAATCTGCATTCTATTGATCTTATTTACATGTGTGGCTTTGCATCATCCAAGTCAACCCTTTTTTTTTCTTTTAATATCACAACCTCCAGGAGACGCGTACTAATATCCCCATTTTTTAAATAGGGAAACTGAGTCTCACAGAGTCGAGAAGAATTCCCAAGATGCCAGGAGTTGAAATTTGAGCATATTACCTTGACCGGCCAGACCCTGTGCCCTAACCTAGGGGCCACTTGCATTAAATTCCTATACAGTGAGCCAGCACCTCGGTCTTTCTCTGGCTACAAAAATGTGCTCAGCCTTTGGAAGCCTTAAGTGTTAATGTCTCCAGTGAGGGAGGGATAGGCTGGGGAAGAAGTACCCCAACTCTCTGTCTTGTAAGACAAGTCTGTTTGTGGGCTGCAGCAGGATCAAATCCCAAGTGGTCAAGGCAGGGTCCTTTTTAAGGACCTTCACTGTTTTTCTCCTTCCTGCTTTGTTTTTAATTTGCTGTCAATCCTGTAGCAGGGTCTGGTGTATGTGGTGAGACTGGAACTCAGATAGACTGAATCCTTGAGATAGGAGTTCCTTCCCCATCCCATCTCTTGGTAGCCCTCGGTGGACCTTCTATGGGATCAGTAGATGGTTTCCTGGACCTACACCCGTCCTAATTCTCTGAAAACATTTATCGGTCCTTCTTTGGTGTCGGGCTTCTGAGGTCACGCCCTCAAATCTTCTGTCTTGTGAGCTTCAGTGACACCTGTGTCACAAATAGCACGTGTTCACATGTTTACACCCAGCTTTTCCTTCCGGGTCTGTCCATCTCCAGCCCTGGTGAGTGGGCAGGTGACCATCCACAGCTGCACAGCCACAAAGGCAGGCCAGGCTATGGACTACAGAGCCTGTCAGACACTGTGTCTAGAAACTTCAGATGCAAGACCCAGTGGGGGTCCTGGCTCAGGGGTTGAGAGATTCCCAATAGTCCTATTTGGGCTGCTTCGATTCTGGAAAACAAATCCTCAACAAGTGTTTTCCTGACAAAGACAACCACTTTGTCTATTCCCACTCCATCCATCCTTCCTTCCTTCCTTCCTTCCTTCCTTCCTTCCTTCCTTCCTTCCTCCCTCCCTCCCTCCCTCCCTCCCTCCCTCCCTCTCTTTCTTTCCCCTCTTTTTGACAAGGTCTCATGTAGACTGGCCACAAACCTACCATGCACCTAAGGCTAGCTTTTAACTCCCTTGTCTCTACCTGCTGAGTACTTCCATTAGCCAAGGCACCCTGCTCTCATTCCCTATAATACTGCAACACCCTTTGCCCACTTCCCCTGGCCAGAAGGCCAAGCTGCTGAGGACCAAGCACGCTGAACTGGAAGAGATCTGCTGTGCACACACGGTTCATCCAGCAGTCTCGGGTGCCAGCCGAGTCACACTGTCGTGCTGACACTTTGAAGGAGGAACACCTGCTGCATCATGGAACCGTCACTGCCTCCTTGCAATATTCTAGCCTTACTGGTGTGTATGGCCACACGTCTGGCACATTCACAGCAACCCCCATAGGGAAGGAGTTGCTCATGATCCTGTTAGAGGCAAAGAAAACAAGCCTGGCAGAGGACATCATATCAATCGGCAGATGGGAATGCTCCCATTAAAATTTAGGTCTTTCTGATTTCAAGTAGCATGCCTTTCCTAAGCAGTCCAAGAGTCCCTTTCCCCGGGGACTATATGTTTATGGGAAGAGTCTCACACAAACCAGTTTAAAGACGACTGTGGCCTTTCTCATGTGATGGTGCCTACCAGCAACTCAAGAATCTAAAGAAGAAAGGAAGGAGGTTTCTGGAAAAGAAGGCAGGGTTGAGTGGGTCCCAAAGGATGAGAGGATTTGGATAGAGAAGTTGAGAACGCAACAGAGTTCAGAAAGAAATCTGTAGCATCCTGAATAAGCCAGCAAGCCATGCTGTGAGCTGGAGCAGAGGGACCCTGCTGAGCACAGGAGAAAACACATCTAAAGAGCATCTCTAACGCAGATGCTGACCTGTTTTTCAACCAGAGACATTGAGGTCATTCAAAAGCTTAAATAAATAAATAAATACCTAGATCCCTTCCTAGATGTACCAAATTATCATTTCTAAAGGCAGGACCCTACACATCAGTGAGTTTTTTGGATAACTAGGAAGATTCCCTTCTCATTCGCCTGCCCTCAGTTAAGAACTCCTGCACCAGGCAACTGGGAGCTACATAGGTTCTATACTAGTTGGGAAATAATTTAGAGACTAGGGTAGGAAGAGACCGGAGGCAGAGAACTGGCCAGAATCAAGTTTGGAAGAAGGCAAAGGCTTCCTGTCAAGTCTAGAAGGACCAAGATGAGCACCGAGTCAGACAACCAGCTGCCCCCAGCATCATCACAGGGTAGCATGGGGGCGGGGCAGACAAGGTGAGCTCAAGCCCCAGCTTTATCCCTCCCTCCAAATAACCACATAATCTTGGGCAAGACTCCAGGCCCCTCTAAAACACAGCTTGAACACGTGTTTGTTCAGAAGGTATGAGAATTAAGGAACTCCCCATCTGAATGCGGATATGGCACCTGTTGCGGGGTTAATGGCGACCTAAGTTGCTCCCCTAGCAGCATCCTGTAAGGAAGCAGTTGGTGAAGAAGCCAGCTTGAGAGAAGTGGGAGGGGCAGGCAGCCAACAGTGAACATCTGAAAAGCTCCCTTTATAACAAAGTGGAGAAGAAAGAAAAGAAACCAGGACTAGAGACAGGATGGATGGGCAGGAAATAACATATTTTTAGAGAACGGGACCTGGCTTGTTTAGTAAAGAGTAAGGTTTAGCTGGAAACAAGAAAAGCAAGGTACTGGAGAGGGTGTGTCCTGAAAAAGACTGTCTTAATGTTTTCTAAATGCCACTGGAATTGGAATTGTACAGTTTGGCTTTCAGATAGCTGGCAAGTCACCAAATCTCCAGGCTACTGTTTTCTGAGCCGTCTCTCTCAAACCCTGTTCCCTCTCTGCCAGTGGCTGTATCAATGCAATGAGCTAAGGACTATTTAATGAAAACCATAAATGAAAAGTACAGTTTACCATGGAATCTTCAGCCACAGCACTTTCTGCCACCAGCAAGAGAAACTAAAGCCTGAAGCAATAGTTGCTTCACGCCTGAAGAATGTGAACGCGGTTAAAAATGGCATTCACAGCCCATCAAATGCACGTCTACTAAAAGAACACAGTAGGAAAATTGAACAGATAAATTCAGGCTTGGTATTGGGACTCTTCCTCGGACTCGGTGAGATGATAAGATCCCTCTAAAATACACCGGTTACAGGCTGGGGAGTTGGTACATGGGCAAAGGCACTTGGCACCGAACCTGACGATCAGAGTTCAAGCCCCAGGACCCACGTGGTGGGAAAAGAAAGCCAGTTCCCTAAATTGTTCTCTGACCTCCACATGTCTACACACACACACACACACACACACACACACACAAAAGAATACATATAATAAAGCATCTCAAATATAGCAGTCACAGATGTGGCAACTCCGGCAGGGGAATGAAGTGACTTTATTTTTAACATCCACTTCTTAACCACATTGAATCAAAAAAGAAGAGAAGAGGAACATCTTAGATTGAGGCCACTGGAGGACTTGCTTTTTCTAAAGATAATCCTAGAAAATCAGCTACTTTGTCCCTTAAGATACATCTGCAGCTTGAGGCAGCTGGAAAAAATAAAATGCCAGGAAGTTACTTGAAAGCAGATTCACGTTGCAACTATGTAAACTTCGACCGCCTGTGACTGGGTTCTCCCTCCCTACCCCCCGCCCCGGAATAGCAGTTGAACAGCCACTGCCCTGTGTTTATGACATCTAAGGGGCTTTCTGGAACTTCCTTTAAAAAAAAAAAAATGCCGGGCTAGTGAGATGGCTCAGAGAGGGTAAAGGTGCTTGCAACCTAAGTTCCTAAATTCAATCTCTGGAACCCACACAACCACACATACAATGTGGCACATAGGTATCTGTACATGCACACACACACACACAATCATGCATATATAAAATATTAATAAATAAAAATAAAAGTTATTTTTAAAAAGCCAGTAGTTACAATCTATTAAAAGAATACACTGTTTTAAGACTGATTTGAATACTTTACCCTTCTCTCTTTCTTCCCACCGAACTCTAGTGCTGGGGATCAAATTCAGAGCCTCAAGCACATGAGACTCTACTGCTGAGCTACAGTCCCAGGCCACGACATTTGAAGGATGGGATCCACTGAGAGTCTATCAGGTGTTGGTAAGCTTCGCTGTTAGCTGCTATTCACGCTACTACTGTTTGATCTCTTGTTCTTTTTTTTTTTCTTTCTTTCTTTTTTTTTTTTTTTTTTTGTAGCAGAGGGTCTCACTGAGTAGCCCAGGCTGGCTTTGGTCTCACTATATAACCTAAGCTGGCCTCAAACCCATGATCCTCCTGCATCAGCCTCCCAAGGACCGGACTACTAGTAAGTACCACAAAGCCTGGCCACATTACCAGTATTACCATGCCAAGAAAAAAAAGATAGCCATTATTTTCTGAGCCTTAACAATCCCCCCATAATCCTTACAATGACCCCATGAGGAAGATACTGGTTTATATCTATCTGCCTTCCTTACACCAATATTTGACTAGGTAATTTGCTTCCTAGAATCTTCTTTCTGACCTAGAGGTGGGCATTGTCTCCACCTCAGACCCTGAGTCCCATCGCTAATAAATGGCAGTGCTGGGAACTGAAGAAGAAAAAGCTGGTCTCCACTGGCTATGATTTTGCCACGAGAGTGCTCGCCCCCACCCCACCCCCATCCTGTCTCCACAGCTCACAGGTCTCTCCAGGAAGATCACTGACTTGGCTGAGGCAATGATCAGTGTCTTGGGTTTTCAGAGCCAATCTGCACAACTCAAGAAGAGATATATCAGGAGGGGGAGAGAGTGGAGCCATGATAAGAATCTACTGTGGATATTTCCCAAGTGTCTGATGGGGTCACAAACCGCACTGATGACTACAGAGGCTAACTTAGCAGGTCGCACCGAGAGCTAAGACCAAAAAAGCCTGTTCTGAACCCTCTGAACTATGGTGGGCATTTCCTAGTGAGTGAACATGGAGGTGACCGGTCTGTGTTCCTGGGAATCAGGGTGTGGGAGGGAAAGTCCTACAGCCCAGGTAAGAACAGCAGAGTGGTCAAAGACTCCACGCAATCTGCAGTTACAGAGTTAGGGGACACTGGACTCCAGCTGGCCGCCCTCTGCCTTCAGGCACTTTTTGTGCCAACTGTTCCATTAGCTCAGGAAACCCACAAGTCGTGGGACCCAGGCCTGTCTGGTAGATATTCATATATGGCTGCTTATGTTACTGCCTCCCAACCCAGTGTTCCCTACCAAGCCCATCAGGTTGGCCAGGGGAATGGGAGTAAAAATATATCCAAACTACACAAGATTGAAGCGACGACAGCAACCTATCCTAGCAGACAAGGGCCAGCATTTAAGACTGCCGGAGGGGGTTACTATGAAAAGGACAGTGGAGAGCCCAACCCACTTGTCTGGTTCACTGAAATCGCTGGTTCCACTCCATTCCAGCCTGCCCTCAGGTACCAACGACAGCTAGCCACACACTGACCAAGAATGCTTAGGAAGCTTTCAACACGGTTGGAGGCCATCTTAGGGGTCAGAGTGAGGTGCCATCCAAAGTGCTGGCACCTGGAAGAGGATGAGAAACTGAAATCTGCCTCTCATCCGCCAGGTGAGGGGAATTGTATCTAACTCTCACCAGGAACTGAGGTTCAGGATGCTAAATGATTGACCAAATCCACCTATTGTTGAAGAGCAGAGAATCTGAAACTTGAACTCCAAAACACACTGCGTGTAGGTGAAATGGGGTTGCCTCTCACATCCTCGTCCCCTACCTTCTGGCCTGCGGCGTGGACTTAGGCCTTACTCAAGTCTTCCTTTTCCACCCCTCAACAGACTTTCACCCTTTTTCCCCTCCCGACTGGCATCCTGACTGTATTTTGGGGACGATATTACAGGCTCGACGCCCAAGGGACATGTTAGAACTTGGAGCTCCCTGCAGCTGCCCCAGCGTCTGCAAAGCCACTGCGCTGGGACACCAGAGTGGGTTCAACTTCAACTCAGCTCCAACTGGGGAAGAAAGCCAGCTACATATCCAAAGCCATCTGCAACACGGTGGCCCCAGCTCCCCAGGAAGGATTCAGCTAAGACTCCCTTGGTGAACAGAGTTGGATCCAGACCTTTGGGCAGGCAGGTAGAACCAGCTGTGAGTAAAGATCACTCAGCGCTGCACGTCTGCTGGCAGGCCCTTTCCAGCTCTACACAAAGTCAGGTCTTTGGCCATTGCTGCGACCATCGCTGGACACACTGCCTCCCCAGGCCCACTCCCTACTTATCCTCCTACTTTACAAGCCGGGAGTCCTCGGGGTGCACCCACCTCCTCCACCGCGCTGCGCAGTTTGTGCTGCGTGTCTTCCATCAGCTCCTCCACCTCTCGGAACATCTCATTGAGCGTAGCTTCCTCCTGCGGGTAGCTGAGAGCCGGACCCGGCTCCACTGGAGTCCCCGTCGCCGTCGGGGCAGGAGCCGGGGCGGTGGGGACAGCGGCAGCCAGCAGCAGACACAGCAAAACGTCCCTGAGTCGCTGCATGTTTGTTCGGCGCTGGCCTCAGCCTGTGTGTCCCAGAACGCTATCAGAGACTGCAGGACCACCCCTCTGGCCCGCCCCGCCCCGCCGCTCTGCCCGCCCCCACATGAAGCGAGACCCAGCCCCCTCTCAGCCACAGCCCCTCCTAGGGGCTGTGGGGCCCTGCAACCCGCTCCAGCCTGGATGCCCTCTACACCCCCCAACTCTAGTACCTAGGGGAAGCTCTACTTGCCACGCTGATGGAAATCCAGCCCCCGAACCAAGGACCCCCTTTTCCCAGACAAGGGTGACCCTAGCTGGGCTACAGGTTCGAGTCTCGCCCCTTCCTTTACTAGTTCACAGTGCAACTCTACTGTTGAGACTCTTTGGTCCCCGACTCAGCCTCTCCCAGCCCCTCCCAGCCCCAAGCAGAGCTCGGCAGCGCCCAAGTCAGCCTTCTCTCCACGCGATCCAAGTACATGAAGTCCCCACCTCTGTCTACTTAGGTGAGACCTAGCTGGGCTATCCCCACGACGGTGACCACCGAGCGCCCACCTCGAATAGACAAAACTGAGCCGTAGGTTGGTCACACCTCTGGGCTGCCACAGAGCAGGTGGAGAAGAATCAGTACCCCGCAAGGCTCAGATGCAGCAGCGCTGGTACCCAGTGAGCCTGCAACCTGCCCACCCCCCGCCCCCCTCCCCCCCCCCCACCCCCCCGCCCCCCTCCCCGGACACACACAACCCTCCACGCCCCTGGGGCGGTCGCACAGCCAATTGCGCTCTCTGCCTTTCGAAGTCCTGGGAGACCAGCTCTGCGGGGATTCATCCTCTCCGCGGCGAAAGCCCAGGCTTCTGCCATCTCTGACTGCCTTGTGTTGCACCTTGCTGGCTTTAAGCCCACCTGTGCCTTGGATGCGGTCCTAAAGGATGGAATCCCAGCCCCTCAGCCATCACAGACTGGTCTAGACATCTCCAGCAGGGAAATTTCACTTTTGGCCCAGAGAATGGGTCAACAGAATGTCAGCAAGTCCCTAGAGGGCGACATAGCAGAGTGGCTAGGACCGACACCACGGGCCCAAGGCCCAGCAAACTAAAGTACAGTGTATAGGCTATAGTTGTATGTGCACGTCCTACTTAATATGCACGACGCATGAAGAGGGACCCGGGTGCAGAAGTAGGCTGTGCCGCTCTCTTAATGAGATTTCAGCCTTGACTATTGGCAGCTATATTCTCAGTGCCTAGGGGAAAAAAAGTGTTTTCAAAAACTTTTCTCCCACTTCTTTGGTTTTCTAGTCCTAATTCTATCGCCCCGTGGTGTCCCTGACACCTCCCCTCGAGGCATCTCCTGACCTTTCCCCTTTCGTCCCTGTGCTGGCTAGTTTTTTTCCCCCCAATTTGACACAAACTAGAGCCACCCAGAAAAAAGGGAAACTCTTTCTATTGGATTGGCCTGTGGATGTATCTATGGGGCATTTTTTAACTCCTAGTTGATGTAGGAGGTCCCAGCCATTGTGGGTGATGCCAACCCTAGGCAGGTGGGCCTGGGCTGTATAAGCAAAGCAGCTGAGCAAGCCAGAGGAGAAAAAGCCAGTAAACCACCTTCCTCCAGCCTCTCTGCTTCGGTTCCTGACTCCAGATTCAGGCCTTTCCTGCCCGGGCTTCCTGTGATGATGGAGCACAAACCCTTTCCTCCTAAAGTTGCTTTCAGTCATGATCTCTGTTACAGCAATAGAAAGCCAAAGGAGAACACTCCCCGTTTCTCTTCTGGGGTGGCTGGCCCCCTGTGCTCCCAGGCCACTGGCTGGCTGGAGTCTTTTTGCCAGTTGCTCCCCCTTCTACCCACCAGGAACCAGGAGCTCCTTTGTATCTGCAGAGCCTCAGGCCTATCCATTTGATCCCTGGAAAATGAAGGGGTTATATCAAGAGCTGCTGGGACACCGGTACAGCCGTGTGGTCACTGAGCAAGCATTCCGTTCCAAATGCAGGCATTAACTCACTGAATACTCCGCAGCCTTTGGTGGTTGGTGCTGCTACTTTTGGTCGTTAAAAGCTGAAGGGCTGTGCTTTCTCATAAAGGGAAATCTCACTTCTGTGACCACCATTCTTTATAGAACTGTTTGGTAGATAAATAGTTTTGTTACTAACAAAACTATCACAAAAAGAAAAGAAACTACGCATGGCTTAATTATAAGTTCTCAACCTGCCTAGCTCTGAGCCAGTCTAGGAACAGCTCCAGGGTGGCAGCAGAGGCACTAAGCAAGCCGGAGTGCTGGGCACCACCCCGTCCAGACATGGTCTTGGCTTCAAAAAGCTTGGATGAAGGCAAAGAAATCCAGTGACTCTGGAGACTGGTAGAAGAGTCCCTATCTAGATGACTTTTGCGAGATGAGGGGCCTAGGGGCTGGAGCGGAGAGGGGACAGATCTGCACACACCTGTTATGTCTGGAGGAAGGAACTGTCTACAACTCCACAAGATCTATATCCACCAGGGCATCAGGGGGCAGTAAGGGTTAGTTACTTGTCTGCTGCTGAATACTACGGCCAAAGGCAGCTTAAAAAAGGGGGTGGAAGCCAAGGGGATGGGGCCCATGATGGCAGAGTAGAAGCAGCAGGAATAGGAAGCTGAGAATTCATATCTTTAATTGCAAGCATGAAGTGGGGAGAGCGAACTGGAAGTAGGTGAGTATAAATACATCATCTCAAAGCCGGTCTCCAGTGACCTACTTCCTCCAACAAGTTGGCATCATCTAAATCACAGTATCACCAATTGGGGACCAAGTGTTCAAATACCCAAGCCTACCGGTGGGGGGCATCTCTCATTCAAACCACCACAGGGGTTGTTGTTTAGTTTGTCTGTCTTCTTTCAGAGTGTTGGGAGCACTTCCTGGGATAATTAAATAACACTCTTAAGTTCTCATACTTTCTCCCTGAGAACCAACCGTTCTCACTTCACGGATGAAGAAGTGGCCCCAGCGTGAGAAACTTCTAGAGAGTTAGATGCTGCAGCACGGCGGCTTTGTATCTCGCCATCCACCCACTGGAAACACGTGCCCGAGGGGGTGTCTGCAGGGTGCAGCTCACCACAGCTCTGTCTGTGCTGGTGAGCGTACAAAGACCGCTTGCTGGCCCTTTTCAGGAAGAGAGTGGATAAAATGGGGTTTTTATACACAGCACAATGCTGTGTGGTAGGAAAAATAAGAAGCAACATTTATAGGTAGCAGTATTACTAAGGCGCAAAAACATTACGCAGAGTGGAAGAGGCAGTTTGCAGGATGAAATTTGTAGACTACTGGGTGTGCAAATTTCTAAAGCACAGAATAATAGCAGATGTTATTTATGGACCCTCGAATAAAGTAACAAATATGGGTATAATACAGGCATGCATGGCCTGCTTCTGAGTGGGAGGCAGGGGAAAGCACACAGCAGGGTTTTTGCTTTTTTTTTTTTTTTTAAAAAATGTCTCTAATATAGTCTCACTATGTGACAAAGGTGCTTTAATTCCCAATTCTCCTGCCTTCGCCCTCCAAACAAAAGGATTGCAGATGTGCACCACCACACTTGGCTCTCTCTCCATCCCAAGTAAATTATGGTGAATATAAGTTGGAACAAAATGGGTAGAGGTGCAGGTAGAGAAAATGTATTTGGCAGCTGTTTTCATAGCGCAAATGAAAGCCAAGTGAGATTACACATAACACCCGTCCCTGCAGCCACCTTCAATCCATCCCAGAGTGGCCACCGGGACATGCCAAATACACAGAAGCCTGGGAAGCCACAGCGCAATGGAGAACAGGTAAATAGACAAGCAAGGATCGAGGACAAGGAGATGCTGGCCTCTGAGTGGTCAAAGCTAACACTCCATCAAGTACTTGAAGGACCACCATCCTGCTCCACCTCACAGCGTTAGGGGTGGGCATCAGGTTGTGATGACCCTGGTGACCTCATTTGACTAAACCAACGAAGGACAGCTCAGCCAACCTGGACCCATCTCTTCCTCTCTTGAACTTGAGGCTGAAGAAACCATCCAAGTGAGGAAGAGGGGAACTCAAGTGAAGCTCACAAGCCTGAGGGAGAAGAGAGAGAGAGAGAGAAGGAGACACTACCCTAACCATTGGCTCTGGTTTCTGATGACTCTTCCTGGGGTATGGGAAGATTCTGTTCTTATATATTCTTCAAGTCCTTGGGGAGCTTGTTCCAGGATCCCCACAGATAATCAGCCCATTTAAAAAAAAAGTGTTGTATTTGCATATAACCTCTCCAATTTGGCATATACTTTATTCTCCTTTCTTCCTCCCCTTTCATTTATTTACTTACTTGAGACTTGGTCTCATGTAACCAAGGCTTCCAATTCACTAAGTGTCAAAAGGGGACCTGAAGTCCTTCATCCTCCTAGCTCCACCTCCCGAGTGCCTGGTTGACAAGTGTGAGCCACTGTGCCGGGCTTGCTTTCTTCCATTTTAGTGAAAAGATTCTCTTCAAGGTAGTCTAACTTCACAGGCGTTGACGGGCCCCCCTCGAGATTTCTTGAGCCGAACAGGGACAAGCCACCAGGAGTGATTCGCTTCCCCTTTATAGCCGGCCTCTGCTTAGCAATGCCAGCCACACAGTTTCCCGGAGCCTTCCCAGAGCCTGCCTGTAACATACAATTGTTCAGATGAAACTGGTGCCAAGATTTTTTCTGAATGGAAACTCCATCTGCCCTTGGAAAGAGTGTCCACATGGACTCAGGGTTTCCATGAGCAACAGCCACCGAATATCCAAAATATATGTTTCTTTTGCCAAATTTCCGTGGGCGGGTACAAAGGAAACCCAGAGGACCGTATTCCTGGCCACCACCCTTGTAGCACAGCGCAGCAGGGAGGGCCTGGCGGCCGCTTGCCTTGTGCCTTTGGCTAGCAGGTGGATCAGTGTGCTGTGTGTATTCTTGCATGTGTCTGAAATGGAGGCTGACTAACAGGCAGGAGGAGTCTTTTGGTAGAACTAGTTCACAGAAAGAAATGTGGCGGAGTGGGGTGGCAAACACTTGGACTATTATAAGGTACAGTTTT